AGAGCTTTTAGTGAGACGATTGCTCTGTAAATTTAAGAATATTGCTGAAGCGACGCTTGGAAAAATGGGAGCATTTGTAACAGAGAAATGTTCAGGAACACAACAGAATAAGGGCATAGAAGAAGTAACAAGGGGAAAATGTCCATGTCAGTAATTATTGTTATTTGCTGTAATTTAACTTTAACATTTTTAAAAAAAGATCTGTAATTGTTATTAATTATAATTCTAGGTTAGGAAACGTGATGGGTAAATAACTTCTATAACTTGTATTTGATGATCAGAGTCAGAGTAAAAAATACCACTGGTCTGTGTTTAAGAGCTCTGGTTTCTTTGTAAGGAGACTTCAGATTTTTCTACTGTTTTATACACACAATGTATCATTACTTCAGTTTTGTTGTAATGTGTGTAAGAAAACTTTGAAGGATTTATTTGGTGAGAGTTACCTCTCATTTTATAGGCAATGGAATTAGCTGTACAGGCCACACAAGCTTGTAATTTCAAGGACTGGTGGTGGAAAGTGCAACTTGGCAAATGCTACTTCACTCTGGGCTTAATCCGTGACGCAGAGCAACAGTTTCGTTCGGCACTAAAGCAGCACCAGGCGGTGGAGATATTCCTTCGCTTGGCTCGTGTTTATATCCGCCTGGACCAGCCGCTTTCGGCTTTGGACGCGTGTAAGACGGGGCTGGAATACTTCCAAGGGGAGGTGACGCTGACAACGGAGATGGCGAGGCTGTTCGAGGGACTTAACAACATCCCGACTTCCATTAAGTACTACCGAGATATCCTGAAGGAGGACTCGACGCATGTGGAAGCCATTGCGTGTATAGGAATGCAACACTTTTATACAGACCAGCCCGAGATTTCACTTAGATTTTACAGGTATGTTTAAATTGATGTATTCTTATGTAAGTAATTAAGTTACTGGCTGAGTGAAGGTACGGTAATCGACTGTGTCATAATGTATACCAATAATTTGATCTTTTTGGTTACTTCCAGGAGACTGCTACAGATGGGAATCTACAATGCAGAGCTCTTTAACAATCTGGGGCTGTGCTGCTTCTATGCGCAACAGTACGACATGACAGTGACATGTTTTGAGCAGGCCCTCAGTCTTGCCGCTGATGAGGCAGTTGCTGATGTGTGGTACAACGTTGCACATGTGGCCATTGTAAGTTTACTGTACTCTGTACGCTGTCGCAAGCCGCGTGGCTGCGTAGATTTTTTCGTAGGTCACTTAATGAATCGCCAACTACTCGGACTAAATTGTTGAATGGTTTAATGGGATCAAGAAAGAAGCAGTCAAGACTTATTTGAATGCGTGAAGTAGCTTTACGTACGCATTTGGGATCTTGACTTAACTGAAAATTGTTCTGAACATATCCGTAAAGTCATCTGACAGGGCTGCGCTAGCACTGGCTTGATGCTTCGTTAGGACACTGTCCTCAGGTTTGAAACAAGTTTGACGAGGGGGCCCAATAGATAGTCTTTCTGTCCTCTTCCCCCCCC